TATTTAAAACCTTCGCTGGTGGAAATCGCTTCTGCAGTCGAAAGAATGGTTTTACCCGTTGACCCAAACTTTGAAAAAGATCAAACAAATGATGCGGGTACATTAATCATTCATGATATGGTAATTCCTGATCCACTTTCCCTGAAGACCGTGAACAACTTCAACTCTTCGCCGCCATTCGGGTTGTTCGATATTTTTAACCATTTAATCTACCACTCCACCGATTACGATAAACAGGGGCTCGCCGCTTATAAATCATTTGACGACTATAGATTATTCAATGACGGTTACGTGGAATCCTTGCTTACTGCTCAGTTAAAACACGAGGGAGTCCATGTTTACGTTGCGAAAGTGAAGCCTTTCATGAAGTTAAAGACGGACGAAGGAAAGGAGTACTACGATCTCTGGTTTATTCTAGAGGGCAGAGGGGCGAACCGCGGCAGTGTACTCCGAGCACGATGTAAGTGTAAAGGCGGTCGAGATGGGGGATGTAAGCAAATCGCAGCTGCCATGTACGCTCTAGAGGATTTGGTAAACACCCGTGGTGAAGATAGTGTAACGAGTGGCCCATGTGTTTGGGTTAAGAGGCCAAGAGCGAATACACATGCAAGCGTGTGAAGTAAAAGATCTTATCATTGAGAAAGGCAAAAAACCTTCCCACAAAAAGAGAAAACGCAAACAAGTTTACTGTCAAAACATCGACACAGATGTCCGTGCCCCTGAAGACACAAATCCAAAAGATGAGGAAAATCTAAGAAAGTTTACCAAACGAATTTGCCACTTAAAACATACACCTGTCATTTTGCCCCTGTTTAAAAAACTTTATGGCTCTCCAGAAAAAGACACAATCACAGGAGAACCTGGTCACTCTAACCATAATCGGCCAAAAACCGGTATAATGAGGGCTAAGCTCCTGGAGATTTTAACTAATGATCCCAAAACCTCAACAGAAGAAATTGTCAAGGTATTGTCTTTCAGTGATTCTGAACGAAAGCAGGTTGAGAGAACAACCACCAAGCAATGGCAATGTGAAGAGTGGTACCTTCATAAGACAGGGTTTATCACAGCCTCAAAGTGCAAAAGAGTTTTTACCCGCCAGGAAACGCTTGAGAAAAACCCAGCTGAAAATGCCAAAAAGTTGATAGAAGAAATTGGTCTTGTGAAGTCATGTCCACCGCCCATCCAGGAGGAAAGAGAACCACAAAATGCCAGGGAGTGGGGGTTGCTACATGAAGAGAGTGCTCGGAAGGCATATCAACGTGTTGCAGGCCACAATCATCACAAGCTAAAGCTCATCCCAAAAGGCTTTTTAATCTCCCGGTCCAAGCCTTTCCTTGGTGCTAGTGTGGACAATATTCAGAAATGCCAGTGTTCTGATGGTTGCCCAGTAAGAGTGGTTGAATACAAATGCCCTTGGAAACACAGGGATCTGCACCCAAAACAAGCCTTCTTAACCCCAGAAATTGGTGGTATTCAAAACGGAAATAAGTTTGCACTAAAATCTACTTCAAATTATTACTTTCAAGTACAACTTCAAATGTTTGTAAGCGGCCTCACCTTGTGCATCTTTGTTGTGTGGACCAACAAGGGAATCTTCACTGTTGATGTACCCTATGATCCAAGCTTCATGTCTGTTGTCTGTGCAAAGCTGGAGAAGTTCTGGACAAGTCAGGTACTCCCTTTCCTAATAACTGACGTTTCCACGACATCCTTGCCAGGTAAGTATTTATTACAAAGATTTAAGCCCTAACTTATTACATCTAACTTTATAGTAATAATTACTCCAGTCATTCGGGAGTTTTCTTCTAATTTACAGTTCATGCCTGACCCCATGCTCAGAATGTTCTTTTTTGTTGTTGTTTTTTTGGGGGGTCTCCCTACGCAGGTTCATCACAAGAAGCATTTTGCTCTTCCCAAGATTCCACCATTTCAGAGCAATACATTAACAGCTCTGCACAGCAGCCCTGTAGCCACTCAGAAGCAGATGTCATGACCACTTCACAAGATAAAAGCCCTGCTGCAGCTACTACTGGCACCTCACAAAGTCCCTTATATATAGATTTGTCCCAGTGCAGTACCCCTACCCCACCTACAGAGAGTGTGGAAATCTCTGGACTTCAAATCTACAAGGATGATGTCGAAACTATTCAACCAAAGGCCATGATTACTGATACCATAGTTTTGTTTTTGTTCAAGTAAGAATTTTCTTCACATAACTGTAAGGTATAAAATAATGTATTAAAGGCATCTCTTAGATGGCTTCACCTGGTACTAATGGAGCATCATGCTGTACAGCAATTAATTTCTTGTTTATAATTAACTGTGGAATCTTTGAGCCACACAATAATGTTATTAATATGGATACCTAATGCAAATGATAATTTGTATTGTGATTTCAGGCAACTACCTCAGATACATCCCATTGTCAGTTCCTTTTTCTATACCACCTTATGTGGGGAACAAGATGTTGGACCCACCACCTCAAGGTAATGATATCGAA